AGAATTGCTTTAACTATTTTCATGTCTTTTCGTGTTCACATAAAGTTTTAGCTGATCTAGATTGAGCCTTACAAGAATTTTTTTCTATTGTTGATGTGTTTGTGCTATTAATTCAACACTTGCTATCATGTGATGTGGATTCGGAGGACTGATGCATCCAGTCTGCCAAATTGAGGCAAGTTGTTTGTCAAAATCATTGTTCTTACTTTTTTTTTTTTTCACTTAGATGGTTTAGTTGATATGAATCAGGAGCAGTATCTGGAAATCCAATTTATGCGGGAGAAAAATGACCTCTTTGGCCACATTATGGACAAAGGCCAATGAGGAATTTTTGAATATCAATCGGAATTGGGAGGCAATAATAGTTTGATCTTTAGGGCCTGGTTGCCACATTCAGTAATTTGTTTTCGATTTAGAGCTTTTTTAAGTGAAATCTTTAGGAGAATACTTATTATTCATCTTTGTAAACTATTTCTTTTTATTCTTAATAACTTCTTTTTTTAAAAAAAAAAATTAGTATATCATCAGACTGATAATATGAAAAACTAATGAAAAATTATAAGATTGATCGTTGAAAATGAGTTAAAACTCTTTATAATAAATTTTCGAATATTTTTTAAAGTAGATAAGCATTTTATATACGAGTTCATAAATAAAATAGAAGTATTGAAGTAGTGGAAGATGTTTTTGGTAACGAACAGCTATTATTTTTCATAATCAACAAACAAATTGTTACTTGAATATCAATTCCTTTACAGCTGTTTTACATTTCTCTTCTGGTTTGCGTGTATGTGCATGCGCGTGCGCGCGTGTATGTGCATGCGCGTGCGCGCGTGTAGGACAACAAACAAGAGAAACTTTTTACTGACTAAAATAGCAATTAATACCCAATGAATCGAGCTTTCATTAGATCCCAGTGAATCAACGTACAGAGCCTCCTGACTTGTTAAAAGCTCCAAGAGAAATACTCCAAAGCTGTCAATGTCACTTGCATCAGTGAAGGTCCCCGATACTCCTACCCTAAGCATCATACAAGACATGAAAATGAGTAGAGGTGAAAGCTAATCAATCCTTCCATGAACAAGAAAAATGCAACAAGATTGAATTTGATTACTCTGGGTCCAGGAAAACACTGACTCTAGATGTGTGAGATGGACCAGCTTCATCTACAAGTAGGTTTGAGATTTCAGCATCTGCAACGTTAGCATTAAAGTTCTCATCAACCAAGACATTAGTGGTCGTGAAATTATTGTGAACAAAGGGGAGGTTTAAGGCCGTGCAAATGATATAAACCTGCAATTTTTTCTTCTGCAAATTGAAATTTAATGGAGTCTTTCTCAACTCTTGACTTCAAAATTTCTCATCAGATTTGTTTGAGTTTACCTTTAGCTGCTCCAAGAGCTTTAATAGCCTCTGTTTGAGCTCTAATTAGGTTGATGACTTTACTACGGTATCTGCAAAATTGTGTATTATTACTGGAAACAGTAGTATTTACATCATGCACAAACTAGTATAAACTGCTAAAAGGATTCATACCATACAGGTAATTGCACATGCTGTCATTTGATAAATATTCATATATTAGCATTTGATATCCAGTTTCTTGGCAATACCCTAGAAGACTAACTACATGGCGATGCCTACAATATGATCATTTCTAAGTCAAACAAATATATACACAGCAATGGATTTAGTTCTTTTATCGTGTCTGCAACATTTTGCGGTATTGTTTTAACTCTACAAGATGACCCTGATCTATATCATGGATATCGCTAATATCATATCTTGTTCTTTTCTTCTTACATTGTCTATTTTCTTTGACTATTAATACTTAAAAAATAATTGTCTTAATATATTAAATCCTGAATATATTGGAAGTCCTTTTTTTTTTATTTTTTTTTTATGGTAAAATCTTAGTTGTTAAATATTTATGGTTAGTTGATTACTTCAAAAGTTGAATTAATCAAATACTGAAAAAGATGATAATAATAGTAAATAATAACCTAGTATGACATAGTTTAAAAATAAAGAAATTTTAGCCCATTAATATAAGAATACAGATAAATAAAATGAAATTAGAGATTAAAGTTAAGAAATACAATAAGAAATCGAATTAACAAGATAGGTTAGATGAGCAAAAATTGAATAGTGAAAGAGAATATACGAAATATAACTATGACAAACACATTCTTAACTCATTATGGTTTATTTCTCGTTGTTGTAACTGATAGCCTTCATAATAAGAATTAATTATAATTAATAAAAAAAAACTAAAACACTATAATGGTTACATAAATCTGAATTATTTAAATAACTTCAAAATATAAAACAATAGTAATAATCTAAAAAAAATTTTGTTCTTAAAAAAAAAAATTCAAATTAAAATCTTCTTGACATATACCATCTATTTTGCTCGGTGAAAATTTAATCGCGAACTTTAAGCAGTGAAGTTCAAATAGGTAAAAATTTGAATATGCTCTCATAATCTTTAAAAATGAGATTTTTGATAATTTAATATAAAATTAAAAGCTAATTAAAATTATAAATTTCTTAGGGCTATAATACCAACAAGGCAAAGCAAAATTACCTGAAGAAATTGTTGATGCATCATGCAGTTATCAGGAACGAGAACTACTTCATTAGTAGTATAAAGTGCAACAAGATTATTTAAAGAAATGATCAAACTAGATTGGTTAATATGTGCAAATAGATCAACAAGAAAATTCCTACTCACATGTGCATACGTGAGGTATATGTGCTAGTCTTCATTCACTAGCGATTGTTGGTATTCCAATTACAAGTTTGTCTCATTATTGTAGTTTTATCACATGGTTGGTGTCACCGATAATAGATAAGGAGATAGGGATCTAGGAAGTAAAAATTAGTTTTTTCTCCTATTAGTAATAAATGACTTGTCGTTTTCTAACACAATCAACAGCTGATATTTAGTATAAAACGTTTAGGAGCTATTGAATCGTGATTACAGTGATTATTTCATCCATCCTTCAACAGTTACCAACAATTTATGTAGAGGTTGATAATGGCAAGATGTTGATGTAATTCTTTTAACTTATAAATGTTAGTATTTTTTTTTCTATTAGAAAAAATTGGAAGAAAAATTTAGATTTTTTAAGGCAAAACTTGTAGACTCCAATATGAAACTTAATTTTTTTTTTTTTTTTGGGATGAGAACCTATTCTTTTGCTGGAAAAATCTGTACTTTTTTTTATACAATGTATTACTATTATTTTATAAATTACATATAGTATCTAATATTACATTTATAAGTATTATCATTATTTTATAAATAATTATTAAATTAAATTTGTTTTTCAATATATTTTATATTATTTTATTATCTAATGCTATTATATACTAAATACATAACTTTTATTTTCACTTGCTACTATATATATATATTTATAAATTTCAATATCAATAGTTATTTTAATTAAATATTCAATTTATGTATTTTAAGATAATAGTAGTTTCTATAGTTATTTTCAGTAAATTTTTAACAATTTCTTATTAAAATCACTTTTATTTGAGAGTAATTTACAAAATTATTGCACAAATTACAGCCCTTATAGAACTCACCCTTGCTAATGCAATGAATTCAAGAGATTGATTGAAACTATTAGGAGTCAACTCATGTTTGTTATTTGAAGGGTGGGTGAAATTAATTAAAAAGTGTTCTTCTTTCTCCATTATTGATCAAGTTTTTACTAAATAAATCTAAGTATTTGTCTTTCAATCTTTTTTTCTTCCTCTTTTTTCCCTTTTTTTTTTTTGAAAAAATGAATTATTCTAAGGGGTGATAAAGATTGGAGAGTTAGTGATGTATAATTTAATTGAATTATGTTCAAGTGTTGACCTTTGAACCAATCATGCAGAGAGCTTGAATTATATAAGGAGAGATAAGAAATATATTCTATTATACTGTCTATCACACCTCCTTAATTGATTAATCCATAGTATCAAAAGATTTGATTTTAATATTTTGTACATTTGTATATATATAAATAAAGGGTCTATGTCAAAATATGATTTTAAAAAGTTAAAAAGGTTTATCTTGTTAGCCCTAGATAATGCTCAGCATGTTGCAGCTTTGATTATCTTATTTGACATCATAAATTAATGATGCAATGAGATCATCTGACTGATTGAAAACTATAGAAAGCCAGTTCATCAATGTTATTTTAATGGGTAGGTGAAATTATTTAGGAGCTTCCTTTATTTTTCTGCTAATTGTGATCAAGTTATTACTAAATACAATCTAAAATTGTATATAGCCAAATTTTTATACTTGATAGTTTTTTTTTTTTTTTTTTGTTATGGAAGTACTCATCCCAATGGAGAAAGAAAGAAGATATAATTTTTTATGTGGTTCAGCAATATATCGAGCTCCTTCCACCCCTCATTGGCTATCCTCTGCAGCTCCCTAATCACCCTTCCCTATCCACCAGTCACCTCCGTCTGCCACTGGTATTCACCACCTACGTCTCTTCCCCATCCACTGGTCACGCCTGTAGCTTACTATTGCTAAAAAATCATGCAATATTTATCGTCCGCTACCTATCATTGCATCATGTGAGTAGTTGTCATTATCATTAAAAATTTAAATATTAAAACGCAGCCTTACTAATGCAATACATGCAAGAGATTGGTTGAAGTAAACTCATGGGTATTATTGGAAGGATACGTGAAATTAATTGAAAAAAGTCTTTCTTTCTCCATTATTCATCACGTAGTTACTAAATAAATATAAATATAAACAAAATGATGATCGCATGATTCATTTAAATTTTTTCTAGGAAGCAAGTCATCATTCATCTAATAGAACTTTAGGAGGAGAGAAACCATCGTCTAAGCCCCTTGGTTGACTTCATCTACCTTCTTAATTTTGATTCCTTTCTCATATCCTAAGAATGGCTGATGCAATTGTATCTGCAGTCCTGCAACAGTTGGTTTCCATTGCTTACAAAGAGGTGGAGAGAGAGGTGCGACTGGTTGTGGGTGTTGAAGAGGAAATCCAAAAGCTTACCCATAATTTCAAAGCCATTCAAGATGTGCTTGAAGATGCAGAGAAACGTGGGGTGAAGGAGGCCAACGTCAGGAACTGGTTAGAGGAACTAAAAGATGCTTCATATGATATGGAGGATGTGTTGGATGAGTGGAATACTGCTCTACTTAAACTACAAGTTGAAGCTGAAGAAAAGAAGGTTGAGAATGGCTCCATACTCAAGGTATGCTCATTTCTGCCCTCCTCTTGCCTTTGCATCAACCAAGTTATTTTGCGCCATGACATTGCCCAAAAAATCAAAAAGCTGAATGAAAGATTAGATGCTATCGCCAATGAGAGAATCAGGTATGGGTTTCAGTCTGGAAGGGAAACAAGAGATCTTGAACGACAAATGACTAGCTCTGTCATCGATGAATATCAGGTGCACGGTAGAGAAGAAAGTAAAAATAGAGTGATAAGGATGCTGTTGGAACAAAGTAGTCAAGAGTCGTCCTTCCAAACGATCTCCATAATTGGGATGGGAGGATTAGGAAAGACAACTCTGGCTCAATTGGCCTTTAATGATAAGGATGTAGTGGAATGCTTTGAAAAGAGGATCTGGGTGTGTGTCTCAGATCCTTTTGATGAGATTAGGATTGCTAAGGCAATCCTTGAATCCATTACTGGTAGCACCCCAAATCTCGTTGAATTAGAAAATGTACTGCAAGAAATACAAAAGTCTATTAAAAACAATAAGTTTCTTCTTGTCATGGATGATGTGTGGAATGAAGATTGCTTAAAATGGGCATGTTTGGAATATTCTCTCAAGTGTGGTCTTCCAGGAAGTAAGATTTTGGTGACCACAAGGAAGGAAAGTGTTGCAAGTATCATGGGAAGCAGAAGCACCCACATGCATTTCTTGGAGAAATTGCCAGACGAAGAGTGTTGGTCTGTGTTTAGCAACATAGCTTTCTTCGGTAGAACAGATGAAGAATGCAAGCATTTAGAAGAGGTCGGTAGGAAAATTGCACGCAAGTCTAATGGCTTGCCTCTCGCTGCAAAGTTCCTTGGAGGTCTTTTGCGATTTAGGAAAACTAGAGAACAATGGGAGAGTGTGTTAGATAACCAAATATGGGAGCTAAAAGAGGCTGAACAAGAGCTTTTTCCTCATTTGCTGTTGAGTTATTATGATTTGCCTTCTGAAGTAAGACAGTGTTTTTCATATTGTGCCATGTTTCCAAAAGATTACAAGATAGAGAGAGAGAAATTGATTAGATTATGGATGGCGCAAGGCTATCTTAAAGAAGATATGGAAATTGTTGGCCGGGTATACTTTGATAATTTGGCTATGCGCTCCTTTTTCCAGGACTTCATAGAATCTTATTCTGATAAAACCAATTTAAGATGCAAGATGCATGACATAGTGCATGATTTTGCTCAATTTTTAGCAAAAAATGAATGTTTTTCGATAGAAGCTAGCGATATTGAAGTGCATAAAATAGAGTCTTTACATGAAAGAACACGTCATCTAACGATGTTTATTGGAAAAAAATCACCATTTCCTGCCTCTGTTTACAAATTAAAGAAGTTACGAAGTCTCTTGGTTCGGTTTCCTCCCCATAACTCTGAAATTCTACTTGATTTATTTAGTCAATTGTCATGTCTTAGATCATTAGCTTTTACCATGCCTTTTTACTCTAAACTTCCGAAAGAGATAGGACAACTGATACATTTGAGATTTCTTGACTTGTCTAGTAATTTCGAGTTGGCAGAATTACCTGAATCTTTATGTTATTTATACAATCTTCAAATCCTAAATATTCAATGGTGTTGGTTTCTTAAAGAACTTCCTCGTGGGATGGGAAAACTAATCAATTTGAGGCATTTAGATAACCATGGAACTAATAGTCTAAAATTTATTCCCAAAGGGTTGGTACGATTAACTTCTCTTCGTACATTAGAGAACTTGGTGGTGGGAGACAATAGTAATGATTGTGAATCTATGACTCTAAGCGATCTGCAACAACTAAACAACCTTCGGGGCACACTCCGCATAAGAGGATTAGGAAACGTGAAAGATGTCCAGGAGGCTACAAATGCGCAGCTTCTAAATAAGAAACACCTTCATTACTTGGTGCTTAGATTTAATGGCCAGATAACAGACACAGAGAGAATTGATCATCTTCTTCTTGAAGCCATGCAACCACCTTTGGACTTGGAATTTTTAGAAATTAATGAATATAAAGGGCCTACCATGTGTCCAAGTTGGTTAATGCAACTGGAAAGGCTAAGGGAGCTTAAACTTCGGTCGTTCATAAATATTGAGCAGTTGCCTCCCCTTGGGATCCTGCCGGCTCTCCAAGAGCTCCACATTGCAAAAATGCCTAAAGTGAAAAAAGTGGGGCTTGAGTTTTTAGGAATAGGCACTCTTCCATTTTATTCTGTTGCTGCTGCCTTCCCTCAACTCCAGTACCTTAAGTTTGATGACATGGAAAATTGGGAAGAGTGGGATTATGAAATCACAACAGGAACTATTCATCATAGTAACAGTACATTTATGGTAATGCCATGCCTCAGTTCCTTAATAATTTGGGGTTGTCACAAGTTGAAGGACAAAGAGAAGATTTGCCATGATTTGAAAAAAGTCAGTACTAGATGACTCTTGATGGATCTATTTTCTGCAACTGTAGCGGCTATTGATTCAGAGGTTGGTTCTCTATCCATATACTTTTTTTAATACTGGCATTCATTTTTTAATTAGTGCAATCACTTAGCGAAAATTTTGAAAAAAGGTTGCAGTCACAACTTTGTTGGGGTTCCATCTTTTTTTTTTTCCTTTCATTTTTGTGTTTTTATCTCTCTTTTCATGCTCTTTCCGTCTATGATTAGTGACAACTTTAAAGATGGATGCTGAGGTAGAAACTTCCCGAGGCGTGTTTCTCCTTTCCTCAACTCCAAGATCTTATGTTTGATTTCATGGAAAACTGGGAAGAGTGGGATTGTGAAATCCCACCAGGATCTGTTCATCATAGTAATAGTAGTACCAGTACCAGTACCTGCACATTTATAGTAATGCCACGCCTCAGTTCTTTGCTCGTTCGGAACTGTTTCAAGCTGAAGGAACTAAAACAGCCGTACGAGGATTTAAGAAAAGTCAGTCTTGAACACTTGAAGCATGACTTTGATCCAAGTGCAGCGGCTCTTAAATCAGAGGTTAGTTCTCTAACTATATTTTCTTTTTTAGTTAGTACGACGCACTTAGCAAAAACTTTAAAAGGCTGCAGTCACAACTTTGTTGGGGTTCCATGTAAAATGCTATTTTTAATCTTGGATTTCACGTAAATTTTTTTGTTCTTGAGTTCGTTTTTATGTGTTTCTATCTCTCTCTTTTTTCATGCTCTTTTCTTCTATATGAATAGTGGCGACGTCGACGAAGGATGTTCAAGTAGCAACTTCCCGAGGCGAGTTTCTCCTTCCCTCCACAGGCGCTATCAAGTGACGTGCCTGCTGCTGATACGGGACAGGCGTGTCTCTCCTTCCCTGTACAGGCGTTTCTCTTCTTCCCTCTACAGGCAGGCTCGAAGAACGTTCCTGCAGATTCAGGAATTAAATTTTACTGTCTTCTTCTCAGAAAGCATAATCCATGCTATAAGGCGGAGTTTAGTTTTATATAGAAGATCTCAGTCCCAAATGAAAACTTCAATTAACTTTGTTCCATTGATAACTACATAGTTGAACATCAAATGTGTTTGCCACCTTCTTTTCTAACCCTTCTCTGCTGCTTGTGTGGAGTGAATTGAACATTCATATTTGTCAAATGATGCAAGTCAGCTAGGCCCGTAAAAGTTATAATTTTATTGTGATTTTATTTTTTTGGTTAGTAGTTTATTTACACCCTCCACAATTATTTGCTCATAATAAAAGACTTCAGTTTATTTTTAAATAAAATTTATGCAAGCACTTCAAAAAAAATATTAAACAAAAATGGCAGAGACCAAATGTTCTACAGGAGTTTAATATAAAAACTTCATGTATGTATGGTGTAAAGACAATATAATATTATATGGAATTGGTATAAAGACTAAATGATCCATAAGGATTTAGTGTAAAAAACCATGGCTGAATTTCTAACAAATATATCTGGTTAAGTCATTATTTCATATTCATTAAATAGTCTAAGTACTCATAAATTCTTCACTAACATAATATTTGAAATAAATTTAAAATTGATGTATAATTTATTTGACAATTTATTTTTTAATTAAAATTTAATAAAATTTTAAAATGTATTCCTTTAATTGTCCAATGAATTTTGTAACTGAAACAATTTTCTCCAAATTTTCAAATAAAGTTTTATATATCTGTTAATTAAAATAAATAGAAAATTTTATATTTTTAAGAGAAAGGTTGCAACAAAATTCTGAATTAGATCAAAACCTAGCTTAATTCATTCCTTTAGACTAATTTTCTTTCTTTAACCTATTAAAATTTCTAATTTAATTAGTTCTTGTAGGATTATATAACACTAAAAATGGAGTCTTTTGTTTAACCATCATCTATTTACAGGTCTTTCTCTGTCCTTCAACCTGCAGGATGGTCCCGTTTTCACTCCTAATTCTGCAATCCAATCCTCTGTCACTGTAATTCCTCCTCAGATTTCACCTACTCTGTTGAGTTTTCTTCCTTAGTTTTTTTTTTGTTTAACAAATTTATATAAACTTACAGTCATTACTGCTGTATGTTGTTCATCAATCTTTAACTATCTTCTTATACATATAATTTCATATGTGGGTATTGTTTATAGAATTTGGATTTGTCATTATATGGTAGATTTGTTGTGTATATAATATTTGAAAACCATATGTTTATGCCCCTTAATATTTTGTCTGTGATGTGTGTATGACATGAAGGAGTTAATGGGTATCATGAAATCTATATAAGAAGATGTGACAATGCCTTTCTCTCTATAAGAACAGTGCGTTCCGAGGTATGAAGTGGGAGAGAAGGGATTTCATAATTGGGGTTTTGAATAAGACAATCTTTTCATTTTTTTTCTTTTTCTTTTCATATTGGAAAATTAATAAGCATGAGAGGTTTTAAACTCTTTATCATCTTGGTGTCGAACTATTTTTTCGCAGTGTAACGGCCCCGGAAATTTAAAATGAAATGTGTATTAAAAATATCAAATGCGGAAGCGAAGTCAAAATTCGATTAACATCCCTTACACTAAAACCAAAAACGTGCTCACAAAATATAAAAGATCAAACTACCTAAAGGAGAAACTTGAAAATAAAAGCTACGAATATGACTATGGAGTCTTTAGGCGTCCCCTTCGTCGTCCTCCTGCGGAACCGGCTCGGGAACGATGTCTTCTTGATCTGAAATGATTAAATAAGGAATGAGCTACACTAGCCCAGTAAAGACATCACGATATCTCACCGTCACGGAGGTAAAGGTGGGTAGAAAACACAAAAAGACCAATTGAGCATAATTTACAACAAATTCTTTTATCAATAATAAATCCTTCACCATCCACTTACCTCGATGGAATCCATAAAACAGTATACGAAAGCAATAACATTATCATCATTATGAAATCATATATGAACTGTATAACATAATACTTATCAAGCCTTTTGTAATTCAATCGTTACACAACATATTTTTCCTCTTTTACCAGCCCACTAGTATTCATGGGGATCCATAGGGGTCCCGCTACCCGTTAACCCTCAACACTTGAAATCATATTCCAGGGCCGTCCCCATACCCCGTCCGGTATGGGCGCCAAAACTATAAACCTCATTATCCCGTCCGGTATGAGGGTGAAACGGGCCGTCCCCATACCCCGTCCGGTATGGGCGCCAAAACACATAAGATCTCCATACCTCGTCCGGTATGGGAGACCACAATCCCGGTAGGGTTCCCTACGGACCCGGTCCGTCCACCATCTCCCAGGATATCTAGTCAGGCTGACCACATTATACAATTACCCATTTACATAATCTATCATTCTCTTTTCCCTCAGTCAGCATCATCAATCCACATACAAACAAGCGAAATAGTAATTTATGCCAAACAGACAACATACAGCATCAATATCCCAGTCATTCAATCCATAATCGGTAAAAACAGTAAAATATGCACACGAAACTATAAAATGAAAACATCAAACCTCATACTGCTTTTAAAACTGTAAAACATGGCAAATAACAATTAACCGACAACCACACTAGACTCGGGCTCCATTAGCGACCTTAAGCAATTTCACACATTCGTTGATTCATGAAATACCGTTTTATCATTTATTGAACTTTAATACCGTGATAGGAAATAGGGTGAGGGGTCCTTACTCGTTTCGGGGTCCGAACACGGCTTCACAGTGCGCCTACAGGCTGTCCCTAATTTTTCCTGAATTTTTCCCGGGGAACTGAAACGCACTACTGGTACCTGCACGTGTTCCAAAAAATTTCAAATTAGGCCCAGGGCCCCTTTTTGGCCAATATCACAATTCCGGCACAGCGGCTCCACCGTGCTTCGGCGACGGCACCACCGCTTGCGGCGGCGATTCACCTCGGTTTGGCCGTTTTTGACCGTTTCCGGCCGAATTCGGCCACACTTGCATCAATCCTTGCGATTAAACAACCCTAGGGCCCTCGGGGGGCCAAAAAAATTACGAAAAACCGAAGCTTACCGACGGTAGTGTTCTCGGGTGCGGCGGCTCTCCGGTGAAGTTCGTGTTTTGGTGATTCGGCTCCGATCAACCTGTAGAGAAAAGAATGGTGATCACGATGATATAAAAATTGCATTAAACAGAGGCCGGGAAGGGCCTCATCGGAGGCAAAAACCGAGGAGGGGCGCGGCGGCGCCGCTGGGTTTCGGCCGTGTTTTTCGGCCGTTTGGCTGGGATTTGGCTCCGATTTGGCCACAGGGGAAATCAGCGTGAAAAACGAGTCGGGGGTATGAAATTTACCTCGATCGGCGGTCGGAAATCTCCCTGGTGCTGCGGCGGGTGGCGGCGGCCGGCTTCTGGTTCGTCTTCTCCGGCGAGGGCAGACGGCTAGGGTTTTGTGGTCTGGTGTGGGGGTTCTATTTATACCCTTTTGCCTTTTGATCTCAGCCGTCCATTTTGATTTAATCTGGGCCGTCCGCTTTTGATTGAATCTGGGCCGTCCGTGCGATTGCATCTGGGCCATCCGATCGCACGCTTGATCTGGGCCGTCCGATCGCGCATACGCGGATCGCCAACGTGGCCCGTCCCGGATCGACGTGGTCTTGCCACGTGGCAGGTCCCGGTTGGCCGGGACTGCTGACTGGGTCTGCTGACGTGGCCTCTTTTTTTTTTTTTTTTCTTCTTCAATTTCCCGGGCGCTACACGCAGGACCTCCCCTATAGTATCGTCACCGCATAGAGTTTAACCATCAAGTTCAGGATAGATTGATTTGTTCCTCTATGCCTAAAATACCAAAATATCGAATCATGAACGAAGAAAAGCATGCGAGAAAAACATATTGGCTAGTGATTGTGCGGCTACAATTCTTGATTGGAGGGGATGCCAAAGGCCTCCGTCCTTCCATCTCTTGAATAGATAGAGAGGAAGGCAGAGCTTTTGGTTTTTTTATGTTATCAAAGAGTTGAACAATGATTTTTTTTTGTGTTGTCAAAGAGTCGTTCATGTTAGCTTGGAGTGATGTGGAATGAATATATTTTAGTAGGGTACCTAAAAGCTTTATAGACCTTGCTTCTTCATCCATCATGGATCTTGTGCGGTAATTTCAAAGCAGCGAGGAGGAAAGGATCACTTGTGGCATGCATGCTTCTATTTGATAACTTGTGGAGCTTACTATTTAATTAGCAAGGAACTTTATAATCTCTCTAAAAAAGCTTTTAACTTATTGATATAAAAATCTTTTATGTTGAACTCATATTTTTTTATTGAATTTAATATATTTTAATAAAAAAAATAACAGAATATTAGAGCTATATGCATTTCTGAGATGATGCAGCCATAATGTGATTGAGAGACTCATTGAAAAAAATTTTAATTCTCTAACTCACTTTTTTTCTCTATCTAATTATTATACACAAAATTTTATAACTTTAACTGATGAAAACGCATTTAAAAGAGAATTTGTGCTCTTTTTATAAATAAGATAATAAATCAAAATACATTAAAAGTAATTAAATGTGTTGATAACAATTTCTATTATTATAGATTAATGCCCATAAAATATAATAATTTTATAATTTATTTTAAAGTTACTAACTCTGTCAAAGTATTTTTTCTTTTATAATGGTTATCTATTATTTTGGGTGTTCTTTTAAATTGACTTCAATTATTATAAGTGGATACGAAAAAATAAAATATTATATTAATAGATTATGTATTTAATTATTAAAATTAACAACCGATGTATTTGATAAATATGAAAGAATTATGACGAGATATTTAAGTTTTATATTTTGTACATTTAACTAATAGAATTGCTTGAAACATTTCTTTACGTAATTAATTCTTCAGCAGATATAGTTTTAAATAGTAAAAGTCAAGTTCTCTGTACATGTTTCAGCTTTGCTTGTCATCATAAATTAGTGATGTAATGAAACCATCTGACTGGTTGAAAGCTCATTTGTGTTATTTTAATGGGTATGTGAAATTATTTCATAATTTTTTGTTTTGTTTTGTAAAAGTATCCATTTAATAAATACGGCAATCAAAGTAAAACCAATAGAAAATAAAAATAACACATAAATCTTTAATATGGTTCAACAATATACTTATT